ATGGCGTCATATGGTTCCAACCATATCGGCGGAGGAAGGGGTGCCTGGAAAAAGATATTTAATAAAATTATGTTTCTTAGAGATAAATAAAGCAATCAAGTAATCAGCGTACTTGCTTATGAACAGATATATCTTCTTTGAGATTATATTTGTGTAAGTTGCATTTTTAGATGATTACGTGTCTATTTTAATTGTTCTATTGTGTACTTCTTACAGCGATGCTATAAGAAGGGTTATTTTGACCGGTATGTATGTATGTTCATCTGTTCCATGCGATCATATTTTTATCATTAAAAGCGTCTCATTAGTCTGCTGGTTACATAAAATTATATGAAATTTGCGTGCGGCGCCCTCTAGAAGCGAAAAAATCGTGAATAAATAAGTTTGATGGAGTAATAGGATTTCTGTTAATTTACATCTAATTAAATATAACTACATAAATATTTACAACTTAAAATTAACTACAACTAAACTATTAAATAAAAAGAAAGTAAAAGAAAACAACAAAAATTATACCCTTAATTTAGGCGTCAAAGTATTCGTCCGCATCACTATCACAGGGGAAAGTTCCCAGAAGACTGGCAGCATTGCCACGTTGAATGGCAATGCTTATTTTCTGTCCGAAGAAAAAGCCAGCCCTCTGGTCACGTGTAGAGTCGATAAGCCTACGGGCGATGTCTTTAAACACAGAGTGTGCACTGGGACCCCATGGCCCAAGTGTTTCGACCCCAAACGGCTCAAAACAGTAGTTACCCACTAGATTTGAATATTTACGCCGTTTGAGGGCCTCTGCCGCGGAAGCAGCTGCACCAACGCATGCAGCGGTGCTTAAAAGATGTGATGGCGCAAGGGTGTCTACACACGTCGCGTCCCACACCAAAGGCCTACCCATCTTCCAAGGCAGCAACGACATACCATCTGGTCTTTTGCCGTCATCACGTACCAAACCATTAGGTTCTAATACGGCTGGTACACCGGCTGAGGCAAGAGCACGACGAATGATGTCGTTGATGCTGGCATGGCGAGCTATGCGGCCTGCACTTCTGCAACAAGAAAGACCATGGTGTCCCAAGCCATCGACTCTTTCTCCACAGTGACAATAATGCGGAGAAACACAAGGAGCACCTAAACGTAGGCATACAGCTAGGCGGAACGTTATGTCATCCAACATAGTACCTATGAAGGGTGACGGGAGTGCCTGAAGCCACAATCCTGATTCCCATTCTCCCACAGCCAATAAGCGAGCTCGCTCTGCAGTATTAGGAGACGAGTTGATTAAAGACTCACGAATAACACTGCACAGCGGCACGTCCCACTGTCTCTGAGAAGATGGGTGAACAGGTAAATCCGTAAGTGGGCAAGCCATTTTCCACGCTTCCACTGCATCAGTCAAACACGGCACCTCAAAACTGGTCAGTGACGAAGAAAGAATTTTCCTGACCAATTCAGAGGTACTGTGGACCGAAGACAGAAAAGCTGGTAAACTAATACTTGAAATTTTGCGGACGCCGAGCCCTCCCATGCGAATAGGAAGAGTAGCTTGTTGCCAAGCTCGGTCATCCAAAGCCACATTAAGTATGGATGACAATGTGTGTCTGATAATTTTGTCTACGTTTTCTAAAATGTGTGAATGTTTCCATAGATGTGAAGCGCGGAGAATATAAGTAAATTTTGGTCCAAAACAACAGTACCGAATTAGGGTGAAAGCCGAATGTGTGTTGATTTTGTGTAATCTATCCGAAATGTGATTGAAATTTTGTATCTTGTCCTCGATGAATTTAGGAAAACATTCATCGAATATTGGTGAACCTAGGAGGTGAAGTGAGTACTTATCAATAATTTTGATATTTGGAGCTATTTGATTAAATTTTGCTAGAGTCGTTAGTCTGTCTGTAGAGTCAGGAATGTATAGTTCACATTTTGATAAATTTAGGTCAAGGCCAATAGAACTTAGTTTTTCTTTCAATATAGTCAAATCTTTCAAAACAATGTCAACGTCACCTCCTAGAGTTCCGTCGTCTAAATACCATACATTAAATTTGGAATTTAGTTCACGAATAATAGGATTTATAGCTAAACTAAAAATGGCAGGCCCAAGGGGGTCTCCTTGTTGACAACCAACAGCCGATTCTATTAAATTGTCCTTATACAGTAATTTTGAAGGGTTTCTATAACATTTGATTGTATCAGAGAAACTTACAACAGTAATAAGAACATTTCAAATTCAATATTGTATACTTTAACTCGCAAATTTGCCTTCATGAACAGAATGAATAAAAAAAATGAATGACATAATTTTTTAGTAGTAGAGCTAACCTTGTTACCCCTTCAAAGTTACTAAAAATATATAACTATGTGTGACAACAAAAATTATGTATAACATATTTTTTGTACTTATACCCCCAAAAATTGAAATAAAAGATAAGTTAAACAACTAGAACCTGATTTTATTCTTCTCTTTCTTTTTTTTAAAGTATCAAACAAAGAAACAGGGTAGCCGTGATCGTAATTAGTATGCTACAATACTCTACAGTACGACTACATAAGAGCGTGCGTTTTTCCTAGTCAAATTTTAGTTTTATAACTCATTTTTTATAGATCTCCAGATTGTATAAAATAGTAAAAAGTTTAAAATCATTGTCCGATGGGAAAAAAATAGGTGCTTTGTTTAAATTAGTTTAGTAAGTAAAACTGTAACTTTATGGAAAACGTAAGACAAGGTGAAAACGACATCTAGTGGTGTCGAAAGTTACTACTATTTACTTTGCATGTGTGTGTAAAGAGTAAAGTCAAGCGGCTCAATATTTATTATGTAGTAATCTTTGTATGAGACCAGTTAACTAGCAAAGTGAATATCTGAAAAAATCAGGTTAATGCCTTAGGTTTGGCGTACAATAAAGTTATCTAATAAATATTTCTAAGTTAGGCGTAAATATTGAAAATGTACAACACTAGATCAACGCCATCTAGCGATAAAATGGCAGTTGAGATCATCATCCATTCACCTTAAGGTAAAGATGAAGAGCCCTTAATCTGATAAACATATTACGAGCAAAAGTTAAGTGCAAGTTGTTTTACTCAAGGAAGTTTCCTTCATTATTATCACCAACCCCAATAACAGATAACGAACAAAAGTGATATTGTGATGGCATAACTTGTGCCCCCGTAAATATGTTTAGTCTGTGTAAACAACATTAATTAATAGATATTTCATATCACATTACTGCAGAGTTAAAGCTTTGTTCACATATTATTATAAATCTTAATAAATTACTTGTACTCAATTAAAAATGTGGCTTTCTTTTAATTGTCATAAATGGCAATTCATTGGCGTTTCACAAATTATTGTATTGTATATTGTCTACCTATGGCGAGCTTTTTTTTCGAAGATATCTATTTGATTATGGCATACCCAAATATTACCATAATATAATATATATTTTAGTGGTATCGTGCACGATATGCAGTCTTTCAAAACTTTCTAAAATTCAGTGCATAGTCTGTTATTGCAACTACCTGATGATGAATAATTTCTCTCTAGTAGATAAGACTAAATTTTTATTTAAAATAAAAGTTTTTTATTGGTCACATATTATTATAATGCATAAATAATATTTACCTTGAACTTATCGACACCGACAGGAGCTGTGGCGTAAGGTATATTGTAGAATGTGTATATATCCTCCGTAGGGTGCTTGCGCCCGCGCACAGGCCCTTGCGCAGTTGTTACTTCCCGCCATTCGTCGTCCGCCAATATGGCCGTCACACACAGCAGTAACACACACGTCTGCCACTGCATGGCTGTGTTTACTCACTGAATTAGGTACTACTGATCGATATATCTGTGTTGGGCCTGTTATATATGTTTTATTTACATGAGCTGATATATATTTACCGATAACAGTTTCTTGATAGTGAGATTGTTACCTACTCATGCATATATGTTTATACAAAAATAAAAGATACTGAAATTGCATAGTCAGAAGATTAAAAGGATATACAAAGATATTAATTTGACTCGGTAACTAACATATAGGTAACATTGACTGTTTGAATTTACTATGTGTCTTTGTACTAAATTATCCTTTATTTCATACATGCATACAACATTCTTTTGCTCACTGTACACACTTTACACGTGTACGCGTATGTTACACTTTGGACATTGTGCAGAAGAGAAGAATCTGTCTATGAGTTTATGACCATGCATAATGCAATTGACGAGCTGGGATTAACCTTTTATGTAATAGCTACCTCAGCTGATACACACAGAACTGATGAAAGCTCAATTGTTCTTTCTCTATAAGTTAGAGAATAGTCTGCTTGGTAAGCGTATATGATTTAAGACTGGACATTTCTGTTCTTCACGTGGGAGAGTCATGCTTCGGCACGAATAGACTACGACCCCATAGAACACCCATTCTTCTCTCTATCCCCGACCCTTATATTCTTTAATCCTCAAAACGACAGCAACACCCTTCTTACCTAACCTATCCTAATTCCTCTAGTGTTGACGGTATGCGTCGATTGATTACCATTAACAGATCCGTGAGCTCATTTGCATCACGTCTCATACTCATACTCTTCTTCTCTAAGCGGTTCATCTTGTTACCACCTGCAACTTTTAGGTAGTTTATATTTTTTTTCTTGATAACGGGCGGAGACCTTCGAAAGGCGCCAAGCTTTTTTCGGGAGAAAAACCTAGGGAGTGTGGGATTCCTACCTCTCTCAAATCACCTTGGTCGCGACCATCATGACCTATAGGGGCACTGAGTCCTCTATAGTAGACTTGCTCCAGAGCCTTAGGGCTTTATACTATAGTTATAGTTTTAGGTGATTTTTTCGGTTTTGTTATGGTGAATGTGACAAATAATATACAGTTGTAGGTAAATATTTTTATATTAACATAATGGAAAATACTACAAGTATTAACCTAGTATTGAAGAGTGTAATACCATTATGACTTAAAATCATGTATAACAAAACTTAATTACACTGGATTATAATTCAGAGCGTGGTTTAGGTGGAGGTGTTGGTGGTGGTACAGGCTCCAGGTAGTGTTTCTGGTAGATGTCTTCCCAGAAGCGTGTACGTTCTTCTAGCAGTACTCCACGCAGCTCTATCTTCTGATCTAAGGACATATATGGCGACCTGTTGGCACTGGCAGCGGGCCACGCAGGCAATGAAGACCCTTCAGGCACAGGTTTTCTGAAAAAAAAAGTTTATGTATTGCTGTAAATGAGTAGGCTGTACGACATCGCGTTGCCGCGTTTGCACACACTGCTCATGGGCAAGAGTCCCATTGTGACTTTAAATTAGTAGAGCTTTTCTCAATATTTGCGTGAGTAAGTAAAATATTTAATTAATCTCCAAAAAATAAAAACTGAAAGGTATATAATGACGATAGATAATAATAGCATTAAATCCGCTGTCGTATGGTTTATACAGAAGTATAAAATAAATGAATAAATAAAAACTTACCCAGTTTTAATAAAGTTATACCAAATTTCCCGCATTGTCTTCTTCATTTTCTGAAACTCAGGAGTTGCAAATGACTCATCTGTATGACTTGTATGTGTCAAATTTTTACCATCCAATATGGCCATCGACTGAGCGCAGTGGGTAGCACCTCTTATGTTAGTGTGTGGCACTTCAGGAACGTCTTCGTCAACAAATGAGTATTCATACAAATAAATTTGATTGTTGCCCGCCTCTACTTGCAATTTTGTTGCCCAGAGCATTGAATGTGCAAACATAACATCCGTAAAAAAATTCACGTATTCTACAATATTATCTTCACTGACGGGTTCATCACCAAAATAAAACCTCTTAACTTTATTTGCTACGTCTTCCCTTTCTTCTTCAGATTCAAATCTTAAGTCAGCGGGCAGGAAATCAGAAAATTTGTCATTCATCTTCTGCTTCCACAACGGGAAAAAATTAACACGAAACAATCCCTCCATATTAGCGAAACCATACAACATTGGTAATTTCTTGTATTTGCCGTTCTTTAATATGGTCAGTGGAGATTCTGTCAGGAATGTTTCTCCTCCCATATTGCGTTCCACACATGGAGAGAACATTAAAGTAGAATCAGTCCTATCAATAAATGGATCTGACGTCAACAATTCTAAAGGAGCCGTCTTGTAGAACTCTCCAAGAGCATAAATATTATCTACGTTAGTAAAGTTAAGTTGTCTAGCGAATGTTTTGGCAATCTCTACAGGGTCTCTTTGAATTGAAAAGGCGGCCAGGTTTCCACCACTTTCTGGTATAACTCTGTGGAACAATCCTTCAGTAGATTCAGAGAGCATTAACAAGTCTACTGATGCGGATCCCGCACTGTAACCTATGATTGTGACGTCATCGGGGTTACCACCAAAGCTGGCGATATTCTTCTGTACCCAACGCAGCAATGCTACTTGGTCCTTCATTCCAGCATTGCCTGGCGCATCTTCAGTACCGAGACAAAGGAAGCCATGGACACCTAGTCGATAGTTGAAGGTGACGACAATAATATCTTTTTTCTTTAATAACTGTGTGGCTTTAAATAATTCCCCCCATCCTGTAACAAAACCTCCTCCATGAACATACACTAAGACAGAAAGATTCTTCTTGTTTGTGTTTGGCACATAAACATTAGCAATCAGACAATTTTCTTGTTTCACTAAAGGTAATTCATTTTTTATTTCGAGATCTTGAAATGGGAGTGCAGGTTGAGGACAAATGACTTGTTCATCTACGGCTTCATACGACTCTAACCATACCGGCGGGGGGAGAGGTGCCTGAAAGAAAAGGGCATAATATATTGAAGAAACTCAAAATGAAAAACCTTCCTACCCGCCAACTACTTGACATAATACAAACAATTATGTAATGTATTCTGGGTTAACACCAGAATACACCAAACTAGGCTAGATGCCAAAAAATAAAAAAAGATAATTTTATGGTGAGCAGTGTTTCGGCAGGAGTGAATTTACATACCAAAAACTGCATACCTTGAACTTGTCGACACCGACAGGAGCTGTGGCGTAAGGTATATTGTAAAATGTGTATATATCCTCCGTGGGATGCTTCCGCCCGCGCACAGGCCCTTGTACAGTATTCACTTCCCGCCATTCGTCGTCCGCCAATATGGCCGTCACACACAGCAGTAACACACACGTCTGCCACTGCATAGCTGCGTCTGCTTACTGAATTACTACTGATCGAAATATCTCTAGTGGCCCTGTTATATATTAAGTAACTGAATTTTATCTGGATATTACCTAGAGATAACGATTTTTAAAAACTGTTTGCAAATTGTATAAATTGCCGGATAAATATTATATATGTTATATATGTGACTGGTAATCTTTGCTCTTTTGTCGTTGGGTTCGCTTGATCTCCGCATCACTTACTAAAGAAATCAAACACTGGATACTTGGTGTAAAACTGTCGGCGGAGCGGCAGCCGGGTGCCCAGTCGCGGAGAACCTAACGGGTAACCGGGGCTCCGGCTCGACGTGCAGGAGAAGGAACGGGGTCGTTTTTTGTCAGTAAGAGTCTGACACTCCCTCCCGCCTCGCCCAGGCGGGAGCAGTCATTCGATGATTTTCCCCCCTTAAAAAAAAAGCCAGGTGCCCAGCCACCCCGCCAACTTTGCAGTCATAGTGGGTTCTGTATGTTAATTAATTCAAGTAATATCTCCAGGTGTTTAATTTAAGCATTCTATGAATCAATTCAATAAACAAAAACAAAGTTTACGTTGTTTGTTTTTTATTTGTGTTATTTATTCGCAGTTTTATTTCAGTGCCTCTTTTAGGTGCAATCACTTGAATTTGTTTTGATCAATTAATTTATCGTTTATCTATTTTTAAGCTGTAATTTGTGGCGAGAATGGTGCAATACCCTTCTTTCTGCTATTGTATGATGACTATGCAGGTGATAAGTAAGTAGGTATAATAATATTATTGTCTAAAGACATGTAGATTTACAGGTTTGTATTATTTTTACGTAATCGATATCCACTATCAGGAACTGATAGGATGACCAGCAAAAAATGAAACTTATAGATTGAGATAAATGTCGTAATCGAATTGTGTCCGTCATCATGACTTGTGATTTTGTCCATTTGGTCCGAAAACTGTCTATTAATAGTACAAGTAAATAAGATTTTATTTTTTGAATTTAAAGTATTACATTTAATATAACATAACATTACGCCTTTTATCCCCGAGGGGGAGGGGTATACCACTTCCTCGGCTGTAATGTAACGGCTTCATGTACGACTGCCTCGTTGGCGGAGTGGTCGCAAGTGCGACGGTCGGGCAAAGTATTACTGGGTTCTTTAAAAATTCTCAGTAGTAGCACGGCGCCTGGAATTGTCCCTGGTATATGGCAATAGGCTCACCCCCTATTACATGGGACTCATAACATAAATAGTTAAGATTGGATGTTACATTGTACAGTGGTATAATGTGCACCTCTACCTACTCTTTCGGGGATAAAAGGTGTGATGTTATGTTATGTTTATGCTTGGTTAGCCAGCGGGTTGGAGAACGCAATTTAAAAGGGTTAGGTATACTGGAGACCCCTGCAGCTCAGTCATTGTTGAATATGTTGTCCATTAGTTAATTATTACACTAAACGGACGATGAGAGTACGATACGTGAAAAATATATTCTACTATGTGGCACCCCATGGTTAATTTCGGATTGCATGACTCAAGGACTCAAGTGATATCATCATCAACAGCCTATAATGCCCACTGCTGGGCAAAGCTTGCTCCGCTTGCTCAATGCGGGTTGGCGATTACAAACTTATAATTAGAAATTATAAGCCCAAGTTTCCTTACGATGTTTTCCTTCACCATTTGTCAGTGGTGTCTAGATAATCTTAGAAAATACATATAACTCAGAAAAACTCACACTGGTACTTGCCGTTGGTAGGTTTGGAACCTGTATCCTCATGTATGAGAAGCGGGCGTCCTAAACCTCCGTCACACACACGTCTGCCACTGCATAGCTGCGTCTGGTTACTGAATTACTACTGATCGAAATATCTCTAGTGGCCCTGTTATATATTAACTGATATATTATACATTAACTGAATTTACGTAATTTGAATAACATATCAAGCACTAGGATTTTCTCCTATATCGTAGGTGCGTTTACAAACCCAAGTTCACATACATATGACATCCAGACCAGAAACAACAATTTGCGGATCACACAAAGAGTTGCTCCGTGCGGGAATCGAACCCGCTACACGTTGCGCGGCAGCTGGGTGCCCAGCCACTGCGCCAACTGTGCAGTCATAGTGGGTTCTGTATGTTAATTAATTCAAGTAATATCTACAGGTGTTTAATTTAAGCATTCTATGAATCAATTCATTAAACAAAAACAAAGTTTACGTTGTTTGTTTTTTATTTGTGTTATTTATTCGCAGTTTTATTTCAGTGCCCCTTTTAGGTGCAATCACTTGAATTTGTTTTGATCAATTAATTTATCGTTTATCTATTTTTAAGCTGTAATTTGTGGCGAGAATGGTGCAATACCCTTCTTTCTGCTATTGTATGATGACTATGCAGATGATAAGTAAGTAGGTATAATAATATTATTGTCCAAAGACATGTAGATGTACAGGTTTGTATTATTTTTACGTATGCGATATCCACTATCAGGAACTGATAGGATGACCAGCAAAAAATGAAACTTATAGATTGAGATAAATGTCGTAATCGAATTGTGTCCGTCATCATGACTTGTGATTTTGTCCATTTGGTCGGACCAAACTGTCTATTAATAGTACAAGTAAATAAGATTTTATTATTTGACACAACAACACAACATCGCGCAACACAGAAGTAACACCCACTTTTCACTATTTATGTTATGAGTCCCATGTAATAGGGGATGAGCCTATTGCCATATACCGGGCACATTTCCAGACTCCGTGCTACTACTGAGATTTTTTTTAAAAATCCCAGTAATACTTTACCCGACCCGGGAATCGAACCCGAGACCCTCCTTGTGCGTACTGCTAAAGAGTGGAATTCTTTGCCAGAGTCTGTATTTCCTGAAGGGTAACCTGGGAGTCTTCAAGGCCTCAGTGAATAGGTTGCTTATGGGACGACGTGCTCCATCGTAGACCGCATCATCGCTTACCATCAGGCGAGATAGTGGTCAAACGTCGCCCCATTAAATATAAAAAAAATACCCCTTGCCCAGTAGTCGCACTTGTGACCACTCTTCCAACGAGGCAACGAATTAACATCAAATGGTATCTATAGATATTTTGGGATGTGTGATTCATTGTATTTACAGACATATTTAATTACTTCAAATTAACAAATTAAAAAAAACAATTAGTAAAATATTTATTCATTAAATAGAAAAATAAAATTATTATACATTATACATTAATATATTTTTTTTATACCATTACAATTATAAACAATATTATGACACTTAAAATTTCTTCTGACCCAGCGACACGTGTGATGATCTGTCAGACCACTCACCGGCCATGTGGGCAATGAAGACCCTTCAGGAACAGGTTTTCTGAAACAATTTTTAAATTATAGTACTGAACTATTATTATTTATACTTAATTTATAGATGTAAAAGATAATAATAATAGTGCTTAAAGAAAGCCAAAATTAACTTATTACCATGATAGCACTACTAAAAGAAATCTATTAGCTATATTATTCAAAGGAATTCACTCGCAGGCAGACTAGTTTTTAAGTAATCTGTTTATGTAAAACTGAATCATTGATTCTATGCTACACGTTGTATAAAAACGAAAATAAAAATAAGTATGTATAAAAAATATTAGTAATCAGACAATTTTCTTGTCGCACAAGGGTACTTGGTTGGAAATCAGGTATTGAGAGATTCTATTGACGACAAATCACTTGATTGTCAATGACGTCATATGGTTGCAGCCACACAGGTGGGGAGAGAGGTGCCTGAAAAAAAACATATGAGTCACAATAACGATCACTTTAATAAAAATTCAAAATTTTATGATGACGTATATTATTAAAGGTACGAAGTACAGTATACTTAGTTAAGTACAACTTGTTATACTCAAGGACGTTATATAATATGTCTTATCTTTTATATCATAATATGTGTTCAGGTAAAAGATTTTTTAAATAATATTGTTACCACCAATATCTGATTAATGAGCTATATCAGCATATTATTAAATACTGATATAGCGTATCTAAGAGAGTACCTATTTATTTGTAATTTTGTTTCCATGTAAATGTGATTAGTCATTGTGACATATATTTTTATCTGTTAATGTACTTGGAGGCAAATTTTTGTTCATATTTTTTTACATTTAAAGTGTGAATCTTTGTATAGTGATAAAAGTAAGATAAACATGAAAAAAATGCAACATGTATTTGTTATTGGATCTGTCATGAATTGAAAATTTTAAAAATAATATTGGTGTAAAATGTTAGTGCTATTGAAAACAGTTGTATAGTAATAAATATTAAACATCTTTGTTCGATGTATATTTTTTCATAGCTATAGGTATTAATTTTTAAAAGTTAAACCGTTCAAAGTTAATACTTTCTTCGATCTTATAATTAAGATTTAATATTTTTTCTATTTACAACTAATCAAGGATTTTCTTACATAGATATGTGCAATGTGCACTTAATAAAGACTCACACTGGATAAATCATAGTAAGTACGTTAAGATAAATGACGATTTAAAATCTTATATTATCTGTCGCAAACTACATTTACCTTGGATATCTAATATCAATGAAATCCTATACAGAAAAAAAATAGATCGGAGAGTGAAGAATACGTGGAACAAATGCTGGGATATGAAGGATTTTTTTAAAGGCCCCATACCCAAAAAGTTTAAAACGAAAGCGATGAATATCTGCCTTACGTAGCCAGACGTAGTCTCAAGAAATCTCACTTAAATAAAATAAGAAGTTGTCAAAGAAGAATAGAACGGAGCTACATGAACATTAAATTAAATGATAAAATTAAAAGCTCTCTGGGAAAAGGACAAAGACGAGAGATGCTGTCCAAAAGGTGCTGACATTGAAATGGAAATGGGCAGGCCATATTCAGGGAGCTATGGATGAAAGATGGTCACAAATTATTTCAAAATGGTACCCAATATATGAAAAAGAAGGAAGGTTAGACCTTCTAAAAGATGGAGTGCTGACATCGTACAGAAAGCCGGAGCCTTATGGCCCAGATGAGCAAAGGACAGAGACATCTGGAACAGTTTAAAGGAGGCTTTCACCGCAATAGGCGGCCCTTACACCTAACAATACTAACCTTATTTAAGTACAAAAATATCACTACTAACAAATATATAATTAAGTACACAACACAAACACTAATATAAATAAAGCTAATATCAATACTAAATTATCTGTTGCACAACTCTGCATCACCTCATGGTTGACTGTTACAGAATGCCACCCGGCATTAAATCCGCTATCGCATACAGAAGTTAAAACAGAGATGTAAATAAATCAATAATTGAATGAATGAATGGATGAATGCATGAATGAATGAATAAATGAATGAGTGGTTGAATGAATGAACGAATAAGTGAAAGGATTTTTGATGACTGAATGATTGATAGTACGATTGAATGAATGATTGAATGAATGATTGAATGAATGATTGAATGAATATATGAATGCATGAACGCATGAATGAATGAATAAGTATTATGTATTTTAATAATGTTTGTATCTGTTAGTAAACATCGATTATGTGATATTTCTATAGTCGCTATTTATTTTTTATTATATGATGTTTTATAATTGATTTCACTGATAGGTTCAAACGACACCTTAATAATACATAATATTATATATTCGACATTATTGACTAAATTATATTTTCAAGTGACTGTTGATTGTTCATAAAATATAAACTATTGCAATTAATAGAATTCGAATTGGGTGCCTACCTTAAACTTGTAAACGCCGACAGGGGCTGTGCATGGCGCAAGGTATATTGTAAAATGTGCATATTTCCTCTGTGGGGTGCTTTCACCCGCGGACAGGCCCTTGCGCAGTTTTCATTACCCGCCATACATCGTCCGCCAATATGGCCGTAACAAACACGTCTGCCACTGCATGGCTCCGTCTCCTTACTGAATTATCACTGATCGATCGATGAGACGTGCAGATTGTACTTTATATCGAAATTTTACTTGATAGTGAGATTATAATAATTAAATATTCATTTAAAAAAATAAAAAAGATACCGTAATTAGGCTGACTAAACAATTTTTAAGTTTATCCTTGAGGATTATTATGATAGTAGGACATTAGAATAGTGATTTGCAATTTGCAATGTATTAATTGAAATACATTACATATTGTCTGTATAGGTTTACGATGAATAAGTGGAATCATTGTTCGATTGGTCCCTGGTGTGTCATATAATAGAAATGTATTATTAAGTTTTAAAATTAAAAATTAGGATTTAGAAAAATTGAGATATGTATTTAAATTTCTACCACAAATCTGGATTGTAAGTGCTGGTAACAGGCTCAGATGAGATTGTCTTACAAATGAAGTAAACCCTAAGAAACACCTACTCGTGAACTATAGAGACGAGGATTTGTATCAATGATTTAGTTAAGTTAAGTACATACACGATTAAATTGCATATACCATCTACAATATGTGACAAGATGCTCAATTTCCTAACAAATTGTTGCATTTGATATTCACATATACAGAAATCAAAATTGAGAATAATAGAAATTAGAATTGAAGTTTTTTTTTGGGGGTGGGGCATCCACCCATTCAAACAGTCGAGGATACTATTCATTACCAACAGGCATCAGAGACAGTGGCCACTCCTTTAGCCACTGGTGACCAAAAGCCTCTTCTCGCATGGAGAAGGTTTGAGCATTAATCATCAAGCTTGTTCAATGCGGGTTGGCGATTTTAAACTTATAATTAGAAATTAGTCCAGGTTTCCTTACGATGTTTTCTTTTACCGTTTGTCTGTGGTGTCTAGATAATCTTTTTTTAATGTTCCTTTGTCATACAATTTTTTATTACAATACGTCTAATTTATCGTGTATTTCGACGGCTCTACGAAATCATCCCACCAACACGATAGGAGAGCCGCCCTGGACCCAGCAAAAGGCACTCGTTCACAAGTATGACATGTCTCAGCAATTGGTTACTATAATTTGATGAAGATATGGAGTTGATCTGATGATGGAGTCAAGAGACAGTCGAAGGAACTCCTCGAGGATTTGCAGCAATAAAGCCGTGTTTGGACTTAAATTATTTGTATTGAGAAGATCTTTACATCTACATGGGATGTGATGGTCATAAGGCCTGATATTGAAGTAGTATGATAGCTAAGGGGTACTCCTCAACGGTTGATAGAAGCTACGTGGTGTTCGGGTTGATAGTTTTATATTGCTGAGAGCTTTGCACCTAAATGGTGTGTGATTGTGATTAGGGGACTGATGATGAAGGAGTATGATAGCTAAGGGAACTCCTCAACGGCTGACAGTAGCTACTTGGTGTTTGGGCTTTATTAATTTGTTTTGATGAGAACTTTACACCTAAATGGGCACACCCACATGTTCATTAGGGGCCTGATGATAAAGAAGTATGATAGCTTAGGCAATTTCTAAATAATTGATAGCTACTATTAAGCGTTTAAAAAAAATGTGTTTAAATAATATGTTATGATGAGAACTTTATAACCATGGGGGATATACGTGGCATACTGGGTCTAGCCCAGCATGGGTGTACTAAAATAAAAAGCAAAAAAATAATAACAAAAACTGCGTTTGAAAAACACCGACTTCACAAACCAAACCCAAAAAGAAGCAAAAGGTAAAAACTAAAAAGAAAAAAATAAGTATTATTAGTCATACGCATTAGAAGTCGGTGCCACAAGCACATATCAAAATATAACTTAGGTTAATTATCATAGTTAAAATCTGTCATAAAATTGTACAAAGCTTAATAACAAGGTATTTGTTAAGGGTTTAAAGAATAATTTGTGTTTAAAACTCGTGGCACCGACTTCTCACCTACCAGTGAGTGGGTAATCTATAAGTGCGTATAATACTTATTTTTTTCTTTTTATTTTTTACTGTTTGCTTGTTTTAGGATATGGTTTTTGAAGTCGGTTTTTTAAACGCAGTTTTTGTTTTTATGCTTATCGCGTCTTCACTATTATCTGTAGTATAGACGCAACCGTGCATGTGAAATCGCCGCGAACCTCGCGAGGTAGTCTAGATAATCTTAGAAAGTACATATAACTCGGAAAAAGTCACTTTAATACCTTCCGTTGGTAGGAATCGATCACGTACCCTCATGAGAACCCTTAAACCTCCGGGCCTCCACGACATTCTACTGGATATCAACGATACTATTATCCTGATTTAATGAGAAATAAATAGTAAAACAGCAAAAGCTATGCCTTTATTGACCTAAAAAAGGCTTACGATCGAGTGATTAGGGATGATTTTGGTTAACTCCATCCATGTTTGGCTTCACCCAGTTGTACAGTCTCTTCTTTGTGCCTTTAGGCTTAATTCATTCTGTCTCCTGCAGTAATTCACCGAGGGAAGTGGAAACCATAGTTTTTTCTTCTTCTCCTCTTATAGTATCTTCTGATTCACTTCGTTGCAGGAACCAAGGCAGTTACTCATGTCCCTGGGACGCGCCGGACTTCAGTGTTCCGGTGTTTACATGGTTATATCTACTGTAGATCCTGGCTTACAGGATTTGCAGCGGTTTTGGGAGGTTGTGGCGGGCTTGTCCGTCGTCCGAAAAAAAAAACTCTATCATTAATCGGAGTGTTAGGCGGTATAGCATCTGCTTGGCTGTTCAACTTATCACTGTGATGAATGATGCATTTGAAAGGAAAAGTATGAAAGTGAATGTTAACAAGACAACAGTGTTGGTGATAGAAAGGAATGAGGTGATAACAGAATGTCAGTTAATGATAAGTGATGAAAAATTGGAACAAGTATGTGCGGGCTCGGAGGAATCAGGCTGTGGATCAGTCCCCGAAGAGTCAGGTGGTTTGGAGAGTTCAAACCAAGCAGCGGCGGCGCGGAACAATAAACATGTCTGAACTTGCCTTTTCGACATGGTTCGGACAAGTTTAAGACACGTCGTGGGCGGCTCACGACCAATGCATGCATGCAATGCCATCGTACATTAAGTGAATGAGTTTGTTTCTCTAGGATCTCTGTTTGTGACAGACGGAAAGTGTGAGAGAGATATTGAAAGGAGAGTGAAACCGGAACATAGTGTCAATCGTGGCTTACGCACTGTAATATCGAGTAAAATAATATCCAGCGATGCTTGACTTACAGCGTGTATCGAAACCAACGCTCATGTAAGGTAGTGAATCATGGGCGTGGCAGAAGAAGAATGAAAACAGGATTAATGCCGTGGCAATGAGAACCCTGAGATGTATAATATGAAGAGTAAAATTAAGTGATCGAGTGAAAAATAGTGTTAAAGAGATAAGTATAGATTGAAAGATGATATAGTGACAAGGATTGAAAAGGGAATATTGCGATGGTTGAAAGTAGAATAACGAAAGGAGCATACAGAGCGAATATAAATGGGGCCGTCGGTAGAAGGCGCCCTAGACGGATATATTTATATTGACCAGATTGGCGACATAATAAAAAAGGCCAAATTAAAATGACCCTTAACCGATGAGCATGCATCAACAGATGAAACGAAAGAGATATCTAAGAATCGTAGCAATAGTCCCTGCCTACTCCCATGGGAAACGAGCGTGAGGTTATGTATGTATGTATAGGAAAGTCTGATTAGAAAAGTAAAGTTCAAAATTAACTATACGAACGCATAGGAACGAAGCCAAAGACAAAACCATGCTTTACATGTGATAATGACTGGCAACTTCTGTAAAACTTTTATCTAGGTAGATTATTTTGGTTATCTGATTTTTTTCTGATAATACTCATTGAATATAATATATAAAAACCTATCTGTGTCTTATATTGATAAATAGTAATTCAGTGAACAGACGCAGCCATGCAGTGGCAGACGTGTGTGTTACTGCTGTGTGTGACGGCCACATTGGCGGACGACGAATGGCGAGAAGTGAACACTGCGCAAGGGCCTGTGCGCGGGCGCAAGCACCCTACGGAGGATTTATACACATTCTTCAGTATACCTTACGCCACTGCTCCTGTCGGAGTAGACAAGTTTAAGGTAAGAATAACTTCATAACAATGTCTCATAAATGTATTCTTTATATCCGGACTTATACAACCTACAAAGTTTTTTATTGAATCAATCTACGATCAAATATGCACCTAAAATTAGTTTTTAAAGTCATGTTATTACTTTTTCAGGCTCCTCTCCCGCCCCCGAAATGGTCTGAACCATTTGATGCTATCAATAAAGGCATAATATGCCCGCAACCCATGCATCCATTAGACGACATTTATGAAGAATCCCTTGTGCAACAAGAAAATTGTCTCATCTCCAATTTATATGTACCAAATACAGTTGAGAAGAATCTTTCAGTCGTAGTATATGTTCATGGAGGAGGATTCGTTATGGGTTGGGGAGAAATGTTTCAAGTGACACAATTAATGAAGAAAAAAGATATAATCGTTGTCACATTCAATTATCGTCTAGGTGTCCATGGCTTCCTTTGTCTCGGTACTGAAGTTGCGCCAGGCAATGCTGGAATGAAGGACCAAGTGGCATTGCTGCGTTGGGTACAAGAAAATATCGCCAGCTTTGGCGGTAACCCAAATGACGTCACAATCATAGGTTACAGTGCAGGATCTTCATCAATAGACCTGTTAATGCTATCTAAGTCCGCCGAAGGATTGTTCCATCGAGCTATACCAGAAAGTGGGTCTAACCTTGCCGCATTTTCAGTTCAACGTGATCCTATAGAAATCGCCAAAACATATGCCAAAATACTCAATTTTACTGATGTAGAAAATATTGCTGCTTTGACAGAGTTCTACACAACGACTCCACTGGAATTCTTAACTTCTTCAACGGCCGTTTTTGAGAGCACCGATTCTACTTTTATATTTTCACCATGTGTAGAGCGAGACATTGGAGAGGAAACTTTCTTGACAGAATCTCCTTTGAGTATACTTAAGACGGGAAATTATAAGAAGGTACCCGTATTGTATGGTTTCACTGACATGGAGGGATTAATGAACATGTTTCTCTTCGACCTTTGGAAAAATAAAATGAACGAAAAGTTTTCTGATTTCCTACCCGCTGACCTGAAATTTGAGTCTGAGGAACAGAGAGAAGAAGTCGCCAATGAGATTAAACAATTTTACTTTAAAGGAAACCCGGTTAGTGAATTGACTGTCTTAGGATACGTTGATTATTTCTCCGACGTACTGTTCACTCAGTCAATACTTTGGACAACTAAGTTACAAGTGGAAGCTGGCAATAATGAAATGTATTTGTACGAATACTCATTCGTAGACGAGGACACACCTGTGGTGCCACATACCAATATTCAAGGAGTTACCCATTGTGGTCAAACATTTGCAGTAGCTGATGGTATAAATGGTGTAAATTTAAATGAATCACTAGCAACACCAGAGCACCAAGAAATGAAGAAGATAATGCGAGAAATATGGCACAACTTTATTAAAACTGGGTAAGTAATAATAAAACTTTAGTATATAACTTTTTGTATTATGAGTTCCGTTGTCACTTGAAACTAGTAGAGCTTGTCTCATTTAGTTCTCGTCATTTTCAGTTAATATTTAGTACCAAGTAAACGTAATGAAGGAATGTTATATATAATGTGTATAATGGTTTAATTAAAATTTCAGAAAACCTTTGTCTGAAAATTCGTCGCTGCCAGCGTGGCCCGCTACCGGCGTTGACAGGTCACCCCACATGTCGCTGGGTCAGAAGATAGAGCTGCGTGGGGTACTGCTAGAAGAACGCACACGCTTCTGGGAAGACATCTACCAAAGATATTACCGGGAGCCTGTACCACCATCGACTATGAACTATGCCCCAAAATTTGAAAAAATATAATATTGTACGTTTCTTGTTTCATTTTACTATATCTGTCTGTCGATAGTTATTCCATTCGTTATTATTAATAAATTTAATATAATGTATATGTTTATGTATTGTGAAAAAAAATTAGTAATTAGGTTCGCTAATTGGTCTAAAATAAAATATGACGTGAAATATGATTGCTCCAATTAAATATGTGTTTTATTTTTTTAAGTTTCATTAAGTATTTTATTTTTTTCAATCAGGTTACAATACAATTCTTGGTTACATCGTTTTGTTGGTTCAGTTATGTGAGAACAATGTAACACCAATATTCAGTCAAGGAGAAAGAAAAAGAAAAATTCTTGAGGGCCACAAATTTAATACAGTCTGGAGCTGACCAGTCCCAGTTGACAGCGCCTGTTCCAACCAGCACCGCCCAACTCAACATTATTGTAGGGAATCGAGCAATCAACTACCCGTGCCACTGCCAATGAGACTTTTGAGTGAGCAGGACAACTCCAAGCTGACACAAATGCATTCTACTAGTGTAATTTAATTTAGTTAGTTACAGAGCTCTTGCATTACATACATACATAACGTCACGCCTTTTTATCCCCGAAGGGGTAGGCAGAGGTACACATTACAGCACTTAACTCGTCGAGTACCGGTTTTATAGACACAATTAAAGAACAATAGGTCGCGGTCACCGGTGACCGCTTGATGTTTGACAGTTTAATGCCACTACAATGTAACACCCACTTTTCACTTTTTGTGTTATGATCCCATGTAATAGGGGGTGAGCCTATTGCCATATACCGGCCACAATTCCAGACTCCGTCAGTAATACTTTGCCCGACCCGGGAATCGAACCCGAGACCCCTTGCCCGGGAGTCGCACTTGCGACCACTCTGTCAACGAGGCAGTCAGGGCTCTCGCATTTACAATAATTATATGAAGTTTGACGCGTACTGGAACTCAATGAAACATCAATGTTTTTCGTTATCCTGTTGAAGACGGACCAGCAAGACTCCAAGCATTTTTATCTTCTAATAATACAATTTAATATAAGTGTGGGAGAGCCATGCTTCGGTATGAATGGGCCGGCTCGACCGGAGTGATACCACGGTCTCACAGAACACCGACGTGAAGCAACGCTTGCGTTGTGTTTCGTCGTGTGAGTGAGGTTACCGGAGGCCCAATTACCCTACCCTTTCCCCAATCTCCCCAATCCCTGAATCCCCAACGATCCACAAACTCCTAATCCCCAAAAATCCGGTAACGCACTTGTAACGCCTGTGGTGTTCCAGGTGTCCATGGGCGACGCCAATTGCTTACCATCAGGTGATCCGACTACTCGTTTACCGGCTTATGCCATAAAAAAAATACAAGGACGCAATTCCAGGTTACACAAAAATTTTAAAAAATTAAGTTGTCTTATTTAATTTTTAATAATTTATTACTCAATTACTTTAATAGCTTCGACATAATGGTATCTAATTAAAAAACTCAAAACGTATGTATAGGATAGGTATAAATAACTGTATCATTTATCAAAATCATACCTAAACATTAAACATTACGCCATGTGGTGACAGCAGGTTAAAATATAATTATTTTAAATACCGGTTTCCTCACGTGCCGGACTGAGAAAAGCTCTACTACTTTCGAGTCACAGAAGGTCTCTTTATCATGAGCAGAGTGCGCGGAGACGGCGTCGTCACGCAGTTTACTAGAGGTAGAAGCCTACTAAAATATAGTACAGCTTTCTCAGTATTTCATGTGAGCAAACTGAATTAGTTTAGTATGTCCAACGATAGTTATTATACAATTTAATTATAGACAGTAATATAATAACCTAAAGGCTAAAAATAATATGAAGGTTTCCTTCCTCGATAAATGCACTATCCAGCACTCGATAAAACAATTACTTAAATCGGACCAGTGCTTTCTGAGATTAGTGCGTTCAAACTAACAAACAAACTTTTCAAGTTTTCAGCTTTATTTAAAAATATTTAATGTGTAGGAGAGCCATGCTTCGGCACAAATGAGCCGGCTCGACCGGAGTGATACCACGGCCGAGCAGAAGACCGATGTGAAACAACGTTGTATTTCGTCGTGTGAGTGGGGTTTCCGGAGGCCTAATTCCCCCCCCCCCTGCCTTTCCCAATCTCTGAATTGGCAACAATCCTCAAATCCCTAATCCCAAAATGCCGATAACGGACTTGTAACGCCTCTGGTGTTCCGTGTTCCAGATGTTTACCGGCTTATCCCATAAAAAATATCATAAATGAATCCCTATATCCCTTGGTTACGCCATCATGCGTAAACGGCTCGACCGATTTCATTATTTTAGCGGAAGCTAATAGTATACATTGTATAAAATACTCACAATTTGTCAGATTGCTGTCTTAATACATATAAATGCTGTCTAGTAACTTTATTTCATTTGAATAACTTTGAAGTTTTGAACCGCAACAAAAATTGTTGCAATTTTCCGATAACTTATCAATGGCGGTGACTCCAAAACGTGAAAAGTGAATCCTGGATTGTTTTAGAAGAAGAGTTGATTAAAAACTCTCGAATATTACTGTACAGCGGCACGTTCCACTGTCTCTGAGAAGATGGGTGAACAGGTAAATTCGTAAGTGGGCAAACCCTTTTCCAAGCTTGCGCTGCATTAGTTAAACAGGGCCCCTCAAAACTAGTCACAGTGACAGAGAAAGAATATACCTTACTAATTTAGAGGTACTGTGGACCGATGACAGAAAAACTGGTAAACTAATCATTGATATTTTGCAGACGCCGAGCCCTCCCATGCGAATGGGAAGAGTAGCTTGTTGCTAAGCTCGGTCATCCAAAGCCACATTAAGTATGGATGATCGGGGGCACCGACTCCTCTATAATAGACCTGCTCCGGAGCCCTAGGGGTCTTTATACTATACTGTTATTGTTTTAGGTGATTAACGTAATACCCAAATACCCATTTTTTCCCTTCCAAAAGAAATACTTTCCTGAAATAATTCCAATTTACGGGAGAATGTGACTATAATATACAGTATCGAAGTAAGTAAAAATGTTTGTATTCACATATAAAAGCACTATAACTATGAACCTAGTATTGAAGAGTGTAAACCATTATTTTACCATTATGACTTAAAAACATAGCCATGTTTTACAAAACTTACATACCTATATAACTTCTTCATCTTGGATCCTACAACTTTTACGCCATATTTACTTTTACTCCAAATAGCTAGTCCTAACGATTCGTACCAATTTTTTGATGGCCGTCCTTTCAGGCATGGCCCAGAAAAACTGATCTTTGTTCATCACGTTGTTTTCAAGCATTTCACTATTCCTGTCCACCTACTTAAATAAAACGCTCAAAATATTGTCTGAGACATTAGTAATTACTTATGAACATGTTAACTACATATTTAAATTTTATAACAAATCAAATGTTTAATTACAATAATAATTACAATTACAATACCTCTTGCGTTATTTCACAACAAATATACGAAATTTTCGTATTGGTTTATTATTCGTTTTGTTTTGACGAGTTTATATTGACTAGATTGGCGATATATTAAAGAAAGGCCAAACTAAAAGTACCCTTAACCGGGGAGACCCTTAACCCTCACGCCTGTAAGGTTATGTATATGTATGTATAGAAATGTCTGATTAGATAAGTGAAGTTTATAATTGGCTATAAGAACGAATACACACGAAGCCAAGGCCTTGCAACTTGTGTAAATAACATCAAACTTTTTATCTAAGTAGATTATTTTTGCTATCTGTAAACTGATTTTCTGATAATATTACTCATTTAATATAAAAACCCAGCTGTGTCTTATATTGATGAATAGTAACTCAGTGAACAGAAGCAGCCATGCAGTGGCAGACGTGTGTGTTACTGTTGTGTGTGACGGCCACATTGGCGGACGACGAATGGCTGGAAGTGAACACTGCGCAAGGGCCTGTGCGCGGGCGCAAACACCCTACGGAGGATATATACACATTCTTCAGTATACCTTACGCCACTGCTCCTATCGGCGTAGACAAGTTTAAGGTAGGCGTAAGAATGCCTTCATAACAATGTTTCAAAAATATTTTCGTTATATCCAGACTTATTTAACCAGCAAAGTTTTTTATTGAATCAATCTACGATGAAAAATGTACCTAAAGTTACTCTTTAAAGTCATGTTATCTCTTTTTCAGGCTCCTCTCCCGCCCCCGAAATGGTCTGAACCATTTGATGCTGTCAATAAAGGCATAATATGTCCGCAACCCATATATGCATTATACGACGTTTATGATGAATCCCTTGTGCAACAAGAAAATTGTCTCATCTCCAATTTATATGTACCAAATACAGTTGAGAAGAATCTTTCAGTCGTAGTATATGTTCATGGAGGAGGATTCGTTATGGGTTGGGGAGAAATATTTCAAGTGACACAATTAATGAAGAAAAAAGATATAATCGTTGTTACATTCAATTATCGTCTAGGTGTCCATGGCTTCCTTTGTCTCGGTTCTGAAGTTGCACCAGGCAATGCTGGAATGAAGGACCAAGTGGCATTGCTGCGTTGGGTACAAGAAAATATCGCCAGCTTTGGCGGTAACCCAAATGACGTCACAATTATAGGTTTTAGTGCAGGATCTTCATCAGTAGACCTGTTAATGCTATCTAAGTCCGCCGAAGGATTGTTCCATCGAGCTATACCCGAAAGTGGGTCTAACCTTGCCGCATTTTCAGTTCAACGTGATCCTATAGACATCGCCAAAACATATGCCAAAATACTCAATTTTACTGATGTAGAAAATATTGCTGCTTTGACAGAGTTCTACACAACGACTCCACTAGAATTCTTAACTTCTACAACGGCCGTTTTTGAGAGCACCGATTCTACTTTTATATTTTCACCATGTGTAGAGCGAGACATTAGAGAGGAAACTTTCTTGACAGAATCTCCTTTGAGTATACTTAAGACGGGAAATTATAAGAAGGTACCCGTATTGTATGGTTTCAC